GTTTTAAGCCTAGCCTTAAAAGTAGACAGGGTGTCTGCCTCACGGACTAAAACTGGTAGTTGGTTCCACAGGAGAGGAGCCTGATAACTAAAAGGTCTGCCTCCCAGCTAGGATAGGAGAGATATGATCTCTCTTTTTTAATTTTCATCAGAACTCTGGCTGCAGAATTTTGGTCTCAGCTGAAGGCTTTTAACTACAGTTTGTGGACTTCCTGATAGCTGACAGCTTCTTTTTCAAAGACTCTGGTCCAAAGACTATAACTTCTGTTTTGTCTGCACTCAGAAGCAGAAAGTTAAGAGTCATCCATGTTTTTATGTCTTCGAGACATGCCTGTAATCTATGTAATGTAGGGATGGAACGGTTTATGAAAACCGTCCGAACCGTTCTGACTGATCCACAGCTGACTCTGCAGCGCTCCAGCATTGTTCCACTCTCTCGCATGCCACACCCCTTTCCAGACCGATCCAGCTAAAAGAGAAGCAGGGAGAACGCCAGCATCCACGCGCCAAAATCCCGTCGGAAGATATGTTCCCATTTATGCTGAAAGCGAGAGGAAGCGCTACTTATAGGCGCGGGCAGAGGTTTCCCCTCTGCCCTGATACTCTTTACTGGACCGTCTGTGCACCTCCCGGGGATGTGCCTGGCGCGCGGATCCTGCCTGCCTCTCCTCCGGCAGCACGTCCGTCTCTGTCACCTGCAGATTCAGTTCTCCTCTTCCTTTCATTCAGACTCCTTTTATGTCGGCTTTAATCAGCTCCTGCTCACACCTTAGCGCAGCAATTAGGCAGCGCAATTAATGCACTCCGCCTCCCCAGACAACCACTTCATTGCAGTGCACATGGATTGTCACAAGGGAAAAACAAACCAAAACAACCCAACATGCAGGAAAAATTCAAAAGTCTAAATAAAGGAAAACACAATCATATAAACTAACATCAAAACATGCAAAGCTCAAGAAGAAAATACAAAGAAAAACAAATCATATCTTCCCCTCCAAACATGCAAAGCACAAAAA